GTGTGTGTGTGTGTGTGTGTGTGTGTGTGTGTGTGTGTGTGTGTGTGTGTGTGTGTGTGTGTGTGTGTGTGTGTGTATACACACACACACACACTGTATACATGTGGGCGTGTCAAATGTTAATTAGCTCCATACGTATCACACATATACAGCCTTCAGGGGCAGCAGTAAATGTTTTCACCTTTTGTAATAGCTGTGTATGAGTCCCTCAGTTGCCCACAGTGTGAAAAGATGGATCTCAAAATCATAGTCACTTTTGGAAAGGGTTCAGATATGCAGAAGATGCTGGAAAACCAAAGAATGAGAGGAGCTGGGGGTTTTTCTGAAGAACAGCAGCAGTTTAACTGTTCAGGACCAACAAGGGACTCATGAACAACTATCACCAAACATAAAAACATTGTCCAGGAAACAACACACAGCCACAGTATTAAGAACATTTTGAATGAGGTTACAAAAAAATGAAGAACTTTTCCACGATTTTTTAGATTTTTAGATGCACCTCTACGCACACCTTGGCAATATAATCACCATTGGCTAGACTGATATGGTATTTTTCACTCACACACACACACACACACACACACACAGACTCACTCACTCACTCACACACACTCACTCACTCACTCACTCACTCACACACACACTCTCTCACTCTCACTCACACTCTCACTCTCCCTCTCTCACTAGGCCACGCTCGTTTTTGTGACACTCTTAATGCATTTTATTTATTTTCTTTATGTCTTTTCATCATCTGTTTGATTATGTCTTTAATTGATTTTTTCCGTACATTTCTGCCATATGTAGGCAACATTAACTGACAGTCACCACTGATAAGCTACTAAATATTGTAGAAACGTAATTTTCTGTAAAGTTGCTTTGCACTCACACTCACTCACACACTCACTCACACACTCACTCACACACAGACTCACTCTCACTCTCTCACTCTCACTCTCACTCTCACTCACACTCTCACACTCTCACACTCTCACTCGCTCACAAAGGCTCAGATATGCAGAAGATGCTGGAAAACCAAAGAATGAGAGGAGCTGGAGTTTTGCTGAAGAACAGCAGCAGTTTAACTGTTCAGGACCAACAAGGGACTCATGAACAACTATCACCAAACATAAAAACATCGTCCAGGAACAATATTATCGCCACAGTATTAAGAACATTTTGAATGAGGTTACAAAAAATGAAGAACTTTTCCAAGATATTGAAAATTTTTAGATGCACCTCTACGCACACCTTGGCAATATAATCGCCATTGGCTAGACTGATATGGTATTTTTCACTCACTCACACACAGACACACTCACTCATTAATCATGTTGTCAGCGTTTGCTCGAACTGATTTGCTGAAATCAAAACAGGGACGGTAATAGATGAGCGCCAGCCAATGAGAGCTGTTCGCGCATTAGCTCCGCCCACTGCCGAGAAACCGGCATATCTTCTGCTTGTTCTTAAAAGCTGAATAATTCTAAATGAACTCTGTTATTTTGACAGGAAAATACGACAGAGAATATGGTTTACATGTAGCGTGTCGACTCGGCGTGGTATGCAAGACTCTCGCTCTCTCTCTCTCAGAGAGCGAAACTCTCAAGCGCTCAGTCAGCGTGTTTATCGAGTGTTGAACGCCTCTCACACACATACTGACGTATGAAATCTAAGAATTTATTAGCAAATGGCTAATGCTAGACATTATTCAGTCGCCCAGAGTAAGATTTAATCGCATCTGCAAGTGATTTACTTGCAATGTAGAGAGTTGCACCTGTATATATAAAATTAATTAGTTTTTTTATTCAGTTCACTTATAATATTTCTCCTTGCACAAACAGGCATAATATAGTTGTTAATTTCAATTTCTACTATTATGTTTGTGTGGGCGTGTCACATGTTAATTTAATAATTAAATAATAATAATAATTTATGCATTTAGCAGACACTTTTATCCAAAGTGATTTACAGTGCATACAGGCTATACATTTTTTACCAGTATGTGTGTTCCCTGGGAATCGAACCCACGACCTTTTGCGCTGCTAACGCAATGCTCTACCACTGAGCCACAGGGTCACTATATGCTAATGAGCTCAGTGCATCATGTGT